ACTATTTTTTTTTTTTTTAGTATTAGTTGCTCATCTAGAGACGAGAGCACTTCTCTTCCTGGTGTTGTGTGATTTTGCAGATCTTCGGAAACATTCTGACAATATTCCGCAGTGAGTCTGAACAGTGATGATTTACATAGCTCATATTTCACACAATTTTGTTTTGTATCCTTTGCGATTACTACATATAACAAGAGAGGCATCGTCAAGAGAAGACAGCACTGCAGTTCTACTCTAAATTATGGGTTAGAAACACTAAAAAGATATATATATACATATATCCCAGGATTATCCTACTTGGAAGCACAAAAACATAACTAATCCTAACAGTCATGCTGCTTCCACAGTAAAATTATCACCAATCAAGCATAATTTGTTTATATTCCTCTACTTCGTATGAGGTTATGCACCTTTAAAGCTACTGGAAAACTGCTTGCAGTTGTATCATTGAAACAACATAAAAACATATCATACATTCCCTGTGTTAAATGTGTTATTGCCAGCAAACTCAAACAAGACAGGGTATCAAGACAGTCAGGTTAATAACTTCTAACTCATTCTGTGATGAGTCAGAGTTTTGTTGTTGTTTTAAGTAGTCAAAAAATCCCATCTGTTATTCCAGTCTACTAAAAACCCTGGAAATACAGCAGTCTACATAAGAAAGCTTTTTATATAAACAAAATTAACCAATTTTGAGACACTTTATTGTTTAACATGTACAAAAAATAAATAAAAAAAACTACAGTACTCATGATTTCTCATAATGATTAAGAAGTTGTCAGACGAAGAATATATCATCAAACACTAGCTCCCAACACTGCGGTAGCCGGTGGAACAGAACACAAATGTAGCAGCAACACCTTGAACGAGGCGGGAGAACGTTCTCCGGAACTGCAAGACTGCCCTGTTCTGAAGCTATAGCTGTGCTAAACAGCGCTAGGAGGATTCTTCAGGGGCAGGTTTGGAGGTGGTGGATTCCACCCCATCACATTCCTGGCGGCTCTATGTGTGCGGGGTGTCTCCCACGCACGGAAAGCGGGTCCCACAGCTCCCCTCTCCCGATGGGGCGACGCAGACGCACACAGAGCCCCTGCCCAAGGACAGGCTCCCGCTGGCACTTAGGGACAGGTCGTAACTCTGCTAAGCAGATAGATGATAGCTCCTCCATGGAGGAATCCCCATGGATACAGAGCTGGAGAAACAAGCTCCTCTCCTGCCAGACTAAACACAGCAAGGACCCTCATCTTGCTACCCAGCATTTAATACTTTGTTAATTGCCCAACTATTCACCCAAATTCTTGATTAAATTTCTCAGATAGCAGTATTTTCTGCACAGTCCTACCCCAGACATATTCCTCTTTCTGGAAATGTTGACAGAAGCCGCGTGCACACAGGAACACTCTCATTCAACCTTTCTTGCTGTCTACATGGCCTGTGATCATAACCATAGATGAAATGTCTATTCTTTCATAGTCTACATATAATGTATGTATGACATTATTTGTACATATTTAAGTTTTTCTTCCTTTAGAGGCATAAATAGTATATAATTTGAAAATTGGTTAATACTACTTCTCTCTGTTACTTTCTCCAGGACCTGAGAAATAACTGGCTATATCCAGATTTTAACTGACCTCTTTTCTGATCAACTATGTAAAAGCAAATTCAGTAAGGTTTTTTATTATTTAATTTATTGTTACTATTATAACAACTGAAGAAAGCAGTTATAAACCTTTTCCCCCTACACTTAAGGTTTGGGGTAGAACGTTGAGAACACCAGTGTTTTCTGATGCAACAGCTAAAACTTCATGCAACATTTGTATAAGAATTTTAAATATGAAAATAACTCTCAGATATTCTTGCTTGCACGGTACTTTACTATTTTAAGGAAAACGCAAAAATTTCAATCACCACATCCACTTGACTAAGCTAACTGCAAATCTGGCTTCTAACCCTGTCAAGGCAGTAGAAACCATAATAAAAAATATGATCATTAATCACCTGGATGAATAAAACCTCTGGGGAAAGAACACACATGGCTCCCGTGAAAGAAAGCTGGTCTGTCTGTTCTGCAGGAGCTCCATGAGTGCATCAGTACCAGATGGTAAAAGGCACCCAGTGGCCATAACATATTTGTGCAAAGGCTAAAAAGTCAAATTACTGGGCACAGGCAGGAAAGTCTTTTTACAAACAGGTTTAAGGATATAAAAAATAATAATAAAAATGTTTTAAGAGTTACTTTCCAAAATAAAGGTGATACAATCCTCCAAGACAAGTGGGAATTTCTTTTTCTCAACATCTTTATCAACATCCTGCAGAAGGAGGGCAAAGGGAAAAAAAAAAAAAGAAAAGAAAAGAAAAAGCAGCGAGATTCCGTACTTTACAGATGAAATTAAGCTTTCCTTACATAACTCAGTCCCCTGTTATGTAAATCTACATTAGAGCAGAACTGCTACTGAATCTACCTTAAGAGGCACTAAATCATGCAGAAAGGTCATGTAGAGAATCTTCGGTTAAGGGAAGAGGGGGATATTTTTAATGTTGCTTTCCCAATAAGATTTTTGGAGATCTTGCCCCTCCCCAGATCCTGGCATAACTCCAAAAAAGCACAAAGAGCAGGTTTGAAGTACTATAAGTCTTTAAAAAAAAGGGTAAGACGATGCAACACAATCCTGTGTCTTCTCTTGGGACATGGAAACACAAACTGCCAACACTGTTGTTCTTAATCAAAAAGTACGGTTCTGATCAAAACTTTAGTATATAATACATTTCAGAACAGTCACTTTCAATTGCTAATGGGATATTGTTCAAAACAAACTATCTGCTACCACAATACATCAGTTATTGAATTTTGGTCCAGCCATCTATAAGAGGCGGAAGGGAGAAGAAAAAAAAAAAAAAAAAAAAGTGCACATCAGGAACACATTACTCAGAAAATAGAAATATCTCCAAAGTGAGAAGAAATCACAAAAGGAGAGGCAGTTACTAGATTCCACCACCTGGTCTATGCACCCTAGTAACAAGGAGCAAGAGTTTTAATAACAGCCCAATAAAATGAGGAAGGGAGGTCAGAATTTCTATAAGTAAATGTACTATACATACATAGAAGCACTTTAAATTCACAGTAATTCATTTTAGATATCCCTGCGTAGAAGGCTACGGCACTAGCGGAGCCTCTCTGTATCACAGCAGCAGCCTTTCCACCCTGCTTTGGCACCTCAGACGCATGCTGGAAGGACACAACCAAGGTTAAGCCAGGAGCAAAGCAAGTTCCTGGCCCCAAATTCACTCTACATCAGGCTGCCTCTCAGCCTGCAACCCAGGAACAAAAACTCTGCACATGGTCACCAGCCTTCTTGCTCATCCAGTACACCTCACAGCCAAAGGCCGCAGGCAATTTTTAGCAGTGGACATTAGGAGGCAGGATTCGGTGTTCAATTACACTCCTGCACAAAGCCTTGAAAATGAATATCTAATAACATTGCTAAAACGTCAAAACAACTTCAAGACCACCAGCTTTGGCTTTTGTGTTTTCATTTGTGTTCCGGTGCTGCCACCTGCCGCCGCTTCAGCAGGTGCTGCTTTCTTAACTCACATAGGTTAAAATACAGACATGAATGTCAACATCCAGCAAGTTTTCTCGGCAATTTAATAAAAATTTCTTGAATAAAAAGCCACTGTTTTTAATGCGGTAGGTGGGGAAAGGGGCCAATCTAGCCATACTTCTTTTTGGAATGAAAGCTAGGTTGCTGGGAAAATACATATAATTTTCTTAAATTATCTTATTATTATTATTAATGGCCATTGTTATTATGCAAAACTCTCGAATGCATAGCTTTTTCAGGATGTTGCGGGTGCTAAAACTACTACTTCTCCCAACCAACTCGGTTACATTTTCATATTGAAACACACGTTAAGGGTCGCTCTCCTCCCGTCACTCACGCTGCCCTCTAACCAACCGGAGGTGAAAACCAAGATGAAAACACCACCCCAAAGCACCCCCACGTCACGAGCCAGGCTTCAAAGCTGTAAAATCAGGGTACAAAAGGGGGATGCGCGGATTCAT